AATGTTGTCAATGATAACATCATGAAACTCTTTCTTTGCAATTTCCAAAACTTCTTTCAATGTGAATTCCACCTTAGCGTTTAATATACATTCTTCCAACACCCCTTTCAAATTTGTTGCCGCTTCAATGTCAGAAAGTAGCTTATAAGCAATTGATTTGTCCTTATCTTTTATCTCCCTTGTTTTTTCTTCCAATGATGCTGAGGTATCCTTTACAGGTAATTCTTGTGAAGCTGCCTCCCGAGCCTTATCTCCTTGAGTTTGCCTCTTAGAAAAATTTCCTTCTCTCGTATCATCAAAATTTCCTTGTCTCTTTTCTTCCATCAAAGCCTCATGTTGGCTCTTAGCAATATATGCATGAACTGAAAGAGATTCAACAGGATTCTCTCAACCTATTGCACCTCGTATTGTAGGTGCAGTCCTCAATAATGCTTCTCGAGATAATTTCCCTTTTTGTATTGTAGAAATGGCAGAAGTCCAAAACTCACTAGTTTTCGTACTTCCACCAAGGCCATCATCTACTCTAGCACCATAACTTGCACTTTCTCGTGCTGCTGTTTCATCTTTCCAGCAAATAATTCCTTGCCGTATCATATTATTAAATTCATTGCAATCTTTCCTAGTGTGTGAAGCGTCATCACACCAAATGCATCTTTGTATATATCCTTGTTTTGAAACATTCTTCGAATTGTTTGTAGAAGTATTCTCTTCAAGTCTTGCTAATTTGATTTGATGATCTAGCATTCCTCGTATAATTTCTTCCATCCCCATATCTGCTTTCTTTGATGAGGATGTCGAAGGTTGAACTGTAGACATTGTTGGTGGTGTTGTTCTCATTGTGTTTAAGTTTCAATATATCAAAGTAATTGAACTAATAGAGGTGGATTTGAATACAGGAAAAGACTGGTTATATGAATTGGGTCTGTTAGTGTCACAATTGACTCGCTATTTGAAATCAATTATCAAACTACAAAATACCTAGGCTTACTACTTCTGTCTTAATTCAACACATAATCCATTCTACGACTATCAATTCAACAATACTTTCATATTCTTATCAGTTCATCTCCTACTTACTCTCTTTGTAGTTTATATATATTCAATTACTGATCTCCAACTTACTTATTATATTCAATTTCTCAATTCATCCCACAGAATTCAATATCTTCACTTAACACAACACAATTCGATAATCTCAATTCTCAAGGTCATTGATTTTCTCCAAAACAGTCAATCCAAAGTCATATTCCACAATATTCTAATCACAGTTTCAACAATACTTCTCTCAATCACAATTCTTCATAAGAAAATAATAAAAGAAAAAAAAAACAAAGAGGTAGTACCAAGCTTACCTCGGCTTACGACTCTCACAGTCTGGCCCCCATCTCTCTTTTCTCAACCTCTTTATCTTACCAAAAGATGGACCGTCGGCGAGCACATTCCAAAGGTTATGAACCTTTTGAATTCTTAACCATTTTTTCCACTAATAAGCAATTGTTACCAACTAAACTGCCTAACCATAAGTCTAATTCTCAAGGTTGTGAATAACCAACTAGTAACTTATCACAAAATTTATTTACATATTCTACATAGAACAAGCTAACTATGTGACACATACATAGATAACTTGCCTTGCAAGTTAAGACATGTGGCTAACAAAGTCAATACATATTGGAGGTCCTATAGAATATTATTACATAACTCCTACTTAAGAGTATATATGGAGGCAAGAGTGAAGCCTTCTTCATTCTTGTCAATGCCTTTCTAGTCCTTAGTCTTGTTTCAAGTCTTTTTAATCTTTTTATTTTCTGCAATAGCCATTCCAGTTCAATATTATATCATCTTTGAGTGACTTTCTAGTTCTTTTTAGTGATAGAAGAGTATATTGAGGATTTTCTTTTTTCAAGGTTCATGTGCTTGACACACATATAACAACAAATAATAGAATAATGACCTACATTTTTTATGCTCATTCTATTTCACTCAACCTTATTTGCATGAATCAAAAAGTGTTGCTGATCAATGATACCTATAAGACTAACAAGTATTGGATATTATTCATATATGTTGTTGGATTTATGGCTTTCAATAGCTCATTTACAATGGTACTTGTCTTCATGGCTTCAAAAGAAGTTGGATCTTATTGGATTGCACTTGAATGAATCAAAAAAATATTTATTGAGATATCTTTACTTAATACCTTTCTTATGGATCATGAAGTAGCTTTAATTAATGCAATCAAAGATATTTTTTAAGTATTCTTCAATGCCTTAGGCATATTGATAAAAATATTATGAAAAATTGTAAGTAAGATTTTACAAATGAATAATGGCAAGAATTTTTGTGAGTTTGGCACTTAGTGGTATTTATACATTTCAAAGATGAATTTGAAGTATAATGGAGCATCTCTATAGAGACTTGGAATGTCAATTTTTTTTGAGGTAATTATATACCTAAAAAATAAATAAATTAATGTATATAAAAAAATATTTTTTATCACTTGGACATAAAAGCTTTGCTACTTTAGCAACTTTTTGACCTCCAAAGTAGAAGGCATATATCACACACTTAAGTAATATCTTAGATCATGCAAATTTGATTTACTTGGTATATACCAATGTGTAGAATTTTGCAACAAAAACATCCATGAGGAGTATGTAATACAACCAATCTAATTCTTTGTGGTAAGATCTTTTAAGATGTAAATCTCTCATTATGCATTCAAGAAGATCCATAAATAAGTTAAATTTGCATGTTTGTGTATCATAGGAAATATTAAGTCTTGTAAAGGTGCATTCAGTGCAATGCTTGGTCTACCATACTCACATTTAATTCAAATTATGTTATATGAAGAAGATGCTTCAATCTCAATAACTTTGACTACTATTTGTACTTATCAAAATCAATTGTAGTTCGTCTTTTTTGTTGAAAATGTACTCAATCCCTTGCCTAACTCATTAGAACAAGTTTCAATAACTATCAATAGTATTCTACCTCATCAACAAATGCCTAGGATTGCGGAAGTCTAAATTATGATACAACAACATCTACAACCTATTGATGAACTTTAGATAGTGTAGACAAGGAGACGTCCACCACAAAGAAATAATACAAGAAGAGATCCATTTAGATTTGAGCACTCCTAATACAAATCATTGACAGTATCTTATTGTATATATAGTGATGTCAGACATTGAAAAACAAATTGCAAGTACTCACAATATGGACAAGCAACAAGCCAAAGTTCAAATTCGAATTATTCTTGTTATTATTTTTTTTTTTTTTTGTTGCTATATGTATACACTATGATATGAGATTACGTGAATTATAACAATTAATTCTACGAATAGTGATGTAGTTGATAAGCCAATGTAAGCTATCTAAATGAGACTTGAAAATTTGCATGTATATTGAAAGAAGTTCATCTTATAGTTAATTTATAATTAAAAATATGTTTTTATTAATTTCAATTTATTACAAGATTTTAATTAGTTGTTGTCATGTGCTAATATGTATAAAATAAGATACAATATTTAATTTATGCTTAAATTTACAAAAAATTTATAATTTGATCTAAATATATCTAATACCATTGCTATTCTATTATTTATTATTTATTTAAAATTTTATTTTTTATTAATAAATTTTTGGTTATCTTATTATAATCATGGTCACTCTTTGTTGGATTAGTTATTTGATTGACTATCATAGATTACATTGATAAATACAAAAAAATAATAACAACAACCATATACAAATAAGAATCAAAGAATCCATGCAAACAAAGATAAGATACAACTTTGTACAAAGAAGCGTTTAATAAGCCCCACATGTAGTGCAAGTAAAGAAAACATTATACATACATATAAAAAGGAGATAAAATAGATGTGGCAAATTAAATAGCTCTTACCAATCCTAAACACCTACAATTGAAGCAATTGGTGGTTATGTTCAAAGAAGAATAGAAACCATTTTATTAAAACTATATTGTTACATAATGTTAGAATCTTCAGACATTCTAAGTAATTGGATTGAGCTCTAGCTTGAACATGTCAAAATCTTCATAATTACATGCTCTTGAATGCAATAAGATTTGTGATGAAGATTTGGAAAGGAAATATGTGGTACAATGAAAGTTACTACAGCACATTGCAAAATAGCAACAAAATGTGCAGTATGGTGTAGTGAAAGTCAACCAAAAAATATTAATGTACTTATTGTTGTATTTTTGTATTTTTTTGTACTTTTAGATGTGCATATAAGTACATGAGGTGTATTTGTAACAACTTAGAATGTACTAGTAGCTTGAATCTTTATTTTATTATCTATATAAAACATCCTTCAAAAAAAAGATAAAGAAATAGAGAAAAATAAAAATCAAATAAACTCGTAAAATAATATAAAATGATAAAATAAATTTTGGATGTTGCTATGCCACCACAATCTTTGCTATTGTCACCACAATTTATTCTTATAAACTTTTTTTTATTAAGATTAAATTTATTTTCTATATATTAAGAATAAAGAAAATAGATTAAAAAAATTAATTATTTCAATAATTTTCATTAGAATTAAAAAAATATATAAAATATTAAATAGGTGATAGGTTGTGGTGAAGAAACAAAAACTGTTGTAGCCATAGGTCTCAATATTTATCATATGATATTTTGTTAATTAGAATATACTAGATTTTAATAATATATGATATCAATACGAATTAGGATTAGTATCGTATAAGTAGAATTATGTTAAGTAAAGAGCTTCTTTTGTTTTCAGTGTTTTTAAAATTTTTTTTATGTTATAGTTTATCAGTAATAGCCTATGGATTATGACGTTTTTAGTTTGAAGATGCAAAACTTCAATCATGTTCATCCACATCACACACAATCCACAGAATTCTGCACAACTTAACCTTCACTTCGTTTAACTTCACAGGGTTCAAAGAAAACACATCATACATAATTCTAACGAAACAAATCACCTACACAAACACCAACATGTTGATACCGTGAAATGAATGTTTATCAATGCTTAGATTGCAGAGATCAACAATTTTTACACAACTAAAATCCTGTATCCGAAGCTTACAAAACCCCTGACATATACAACCTCCGACGAGCTACATGGAACCTACTGCCTCCATGAATCGCTCTATCAGGAATCGTCGGCAAATTAGGAGAATATGGTTCTATGCACACTTCATCGACACTCAGCGTGGAATAAGCCGATCAGAGCAAGCAAATCAAATCAGTTGTTGTGGGCGTCAATCTTCTGAAGCTCCACTTTCTTGCCTTTGTCCTTGCCTTGCTTGATCTCTCGCTCCACCTGATCGAAGAAGCTGCCGTCGTAGACACCGCGGATTTTTTCCTTACTAGCAAATCCCTCCTCGTCTTTCACTAGCCAGTATGTGAATCCCCACTCTAGCTTCGCCGCTGACCAACCGTATGGGTCGTTCACGTTGCGCATCCCGTCCGTCATGCGGAGGATCTCCTCGTACGTCATAGCGTCAGGCCTCGTCTTAGCGTACTTGTTGAAGATCTCCTCGAATTTTGATGGCAGAAATCGTCCCTCCGTGTCATAGACCTCGGTGTCGCTACCGTGCTTGGTGCGGTGGACTTTAGACAAGTAGATGGGGAAGCGGGGGTCGGGAATCCAGCCCTTTTACACCATGGTAATGCCGCAAGGGTTTATAAGTTTGTGAGCTGATGAGAATAATTGCAGCGCAGTCGAAGAGCGTAGTGGGAGGTGAACCCATTAAGGAAAGAGAAAATGATACTTACGTCGTAGGTTGGGTAGCTGAACGATCCATTGATCACGATGGCGGCCAACACCGAGATGGTTGGCGAATACCCCAGAGCTCGGAATCCCTCGTATGTTTCCTGCGGGTAGATGATGCCGTCACCGTTCCTGTCGAAGAATGCGCAATGCTGCTGCAGCACTGTGTAGTCGTTGTGCTCTCGGCCCACCGTACCCTCGGGATTCTGAGCATCCACAGCTTGCAAGGCCCTTGGTACATCTGCAACCGCAGCATTTTACCCCCGCAGTCAACAATTGAGTTCTAATCTCAAGCAACACATTACGATATCTTTGTGGTGGCGAGGCTTTGTAGAACAAATTGCAGCAGAATCTCAACACATAATCACTGCTGAGTTTTGATCGTCCGAAGTACGTGGGTTCTCGATTGGCAGATCCCAGTGCGAGACGTTTCTTTCCGCTGTCACGGGTGCCTTCTTCGCTACCGTTTCCATGGCCACGTTGGCTGCCTCAGATTTCCCCTTTCCTGCTCCGTTCTGCCCCTTGTCTGATGAGGACTTGGACTTCACATTAGGATTGGCAACAGCCATGACCTGGAACTCATGCCGAGCCTTGGCCCTCCACTGCTGCCCAAAAGCCAGAGCTGTCACAGGGCAATGTACGAGCCCAATCCTGGAAGCTGCGGCAAGACTCATTGTGGCCAGCTTCGAATATTCTTGCAAAAAGTGCTGTTGCTCAAATTTACAAACCTATCTGCAAAACCACCGACGCTGAATTATGATCCAAGTTCCTGACTGCACTCAAAATAGGAACTTCATTCATACTGCGACCTCACACAGGAAAATTCACCAATACAACCCTTGAAGGAGAAACAAAACATGCTATGAAAAGCAAGACCAAATTCCGAGCAATACCAGCTCGAAATTAGCAACGGAACCACTACTGTAGTTTTCGTCTAAAAATAACGCAACGTTGTCAGAGTTCACGAACTCACCAAAAACTATGTACGTGCAGGGTGCAAAATCGTGGGGCAACAACTCCAGATGAAAATACAGAGAAGCCACTAACGCTGTCTTCTAAATCTTCACAAGAGCCTTTAGGTGCATTGTACACAAATCTATGGACTAGTGGGTTACAGACTGCGAGAGAAGCAGACACACAAACACATACTGGAGAGAAGGGTAGCAAGAGAGAGCATAATATTGGAGCTGGGGAACGTCTGCATGGCCAAGCAGTGTAGCAACGTGGCGAGAACTTCGTAGTAATACGGTTCCCGCTCACGTGTCGAAACCCGGCACGGAAAGCGAGTCTCTTTGCAGCAGCTCGTGCCAGCACGAGCCGCGAGTTATCTCGGGATGGTGCTTCCATGGCCTGTGAACAAACGCTGGATTAAAAATAAAAACATGCACTAACAAGTGTTTGGACCCCATAAGAAAACTGAGCGGTTCCAGAAAATGCGAATCTAGTGGGCGTTCTCCATTTGTCCTTGCCTCAAAGCTGCTCCGTGGAACACTGTGCTCTAACTCTCATCATACTTCACAAATTTCTCTCTCTCTCGATCTCGCGTTCCTAATCGATTTTTATCGTCGATCCAAACCCCTACGACGATGGGTTCATTGCTCCTGGGATTCACTGAAGGAACTGGACTAGTGCTTAGGGTTCATTTCAATAGTTTGACCCAACCTGCGATGATCACTAATAGTGTGGAATTGGGGTCCAGAACACCTTAATTCGTATAAAGGTGGCGCCTTCATCCAGCCAGGCCGCAGTTCGGATCTCAGCAATGACGAATGATCCTTCGGTGATTCTGAGTTGGAAGAACTTGGTGAAGTCAGGTCATGGCACTAATAAGTTGGGTGTCATTTGGAGTAGATACAGTGACGCTGTGATCCTTGGTGCATTAGTTTAAGGGTGTTACTATTAGGGGCCTGTGTCATGGTGCAGGCTCATGACTTCTCTCAATATTCCTAAAATTTATTTAATTATTAGAAGATTGAGTTGTGAGGGTAGTCTGTGATAATTAGTATTTGAACAAGTTACTGCATTTGACTGTGATGTTTATATTGTGGATTATTTGATAGTGTATATGTGCATACATGCAAGAAAATGTATTATTATTACTTTTAAAAAATATCCTTTTCACCTTATATGTTGCATAATTTTTTGTGATTCTTCAAGATTTATTTCAAAATAAATTCTTTCTATATTTTTCAATTTTGTTTAATTTTGAACTAAGAATAAATAAAAATAATAATTTAAAAATGAATTTATTAAAAAATAGGTTACACATAATATGATTATTAATTCTTTAATGTTTTGATATTTTTTCATATGTCACCAGTTATTCCACTTTTGCTAATGTGGAACATCAAATGTGATATATGGTTTGAGTAATATTATATTTTTAATTTTTCACATTGAAATTCTTATACGAAATACTGGGTTTTTTTTGTACTCATTAGTTAACGGATTTTCCCATCACTTAATCAACATTTTTTTCTTCTTCTTCTGTTCTCATGTATTTTGTGTAAGTATTTAAAAAATGAACTACCTATGAAACTACTAACTACATCATAAAGTGTTGTCCAAGTTGATCATTGATTCTTCTTCACAAATATTTTTATTTATGTTAAATGTGTTCAATTTATAATTACTTGTAGATTTTTTAAATGTAAAAATCATGAAAATTTGTAGACAAAAGATTTGTGATTGTGATTCAAATAATTAATGATTTGTTTACATGTGCTCATCTATACATCTATCATGTCATTAGATTAATTTTTTTGATTAAGACTGTACTAATAACATTTTGAAACTCGTCAATTCCATGTTAACAACCACCCAACACTAACAACGTTTTCACACAATTTCACAAGTCGTTTTCAACAAGCATATGTTTTTCAAATATTTTCTTCTAAAAAGCAACAACAAATCTATCGCAAACATTTCATTTCATATAAAGTAATAATTATTTACATACATAACCCAATCATCAGATTTAAAAATAAAAAAAAATAAACAACCATTAACAATTTCCTGTATAAAAAGAAAAAAATAACCTATTTTGAAAACAACACGTAGGCAGATCGTTACATCAATTTCATCCAGGAAAAGGCTCCAATCTACGAATGAAAAATTACACAGCGACATTCGTTCGATTTCAAATGCATGCGGTGACCATCCTTGTTAGTGACGACAGAACTCTGTTCACACCGAGGAGTGAACTCGCCATCTGTCGGCGCATGGAGTCAACATCTGGGCATTGCGGACGAGAGCGCTCTGCGTGCCGTGCCATGCAAGATGGATCGCATCACTCATGCATCGATTTGGTTCTGCAGGATTCGAGGAGAAGAAGGAGGTCCCGATCGGTGTGGGTGTGGGTAGTGTGGGTAGTGGTCGATTTGGTCCCATTGGAGGTGTAATTGTTGTGGGGTGTTTAGCTGTGAGCATGAGTGTGAGTGTGAATGTGAAGTTGTGGAGCTGATGCGATCGCACTTGATGTGCACTGGTGTGAATGTTTGTTCGTTGAATGCATGGCTTAGTGATGGTGGGCCGCGTTGCGCATACGAACGGGTTATTAATTTGAGCGTGGTCTTTGTTCGGTACTGGACGGGAGGGAAGGCTGTGGTCGGAAATGCTACATAATAGTTGGGATGTTGGTTATCTCTGGAGAGTGAATCATTTGCCTCTGCTCAAGTAATGCACCATCAGTCTGTAATTATTGATGTTTTGTGTCGAGGGTATGTATTTGCGAAGGGTGTGAATTTGCTGCTGGATCATCTGAAGCCATCACACTCCGCTAGATGGGTGCGATATTATCAGGCCTCCTCGGCGGGGTCAAACACGGTATGTGCTAATGGACCGTTTTATTTTTTTAGACAATCTAAGCCTTCTAAGTTTATTCACTCTTGAATTTCGACAAGAGTGAAAGTGTTCTCCTTCAGCATAGCACACAAAAATATCACAAAATTACTGCTCATAAGATTGTTCGATCCACAGGGTTTTGTGCACTACTCATTTCTACGACAGTGTCAATTCTAGTAAAGTTCCTCGTGATGACACTTTCGAACCGCATTGCCTCGGAAATGTTCTGTAGATCAGATGGCGTCCTCTATGCTCTAAGCTCTCCTTGAAAGAGTTCTTGTGCAGGGTAACTCTTGAGGTGAATTCAAGTTTTTGATGTAACGATTAGTGCTTTCATGCATGCCATTGAGATGTGTTGTTCCTCTACCTGGGTCATAGCTTACAGAACTATTGCCTCTGGACATTTAAATGCAGGGTTTGCGGGCCAAGGTTGCAGATATGGTCCCAGAGGAGAGAGTAGGTGTCCTGCACACGTGAATTGTTCCCTGATGCACCCCTTCGTATTCCCATACTCTTGCCTCTTCCTGGAAACAGTAAGATCGTTGCAGACGATTGTATTGTCAGATAACGACATGTGACTTGGCCGAGGTTTTTGAGGAGAAATTTCTTTCCAGTAATCTATAGTTTGTTTGCGAAAAGAGGAAATATTGAAGGCCATTAAGAGCAGGTATGGAAATGTGTCACTCGAAGATAATACCGTTGATATGGTAAGAAAAGATCAATATGTTTCAGGCATTGCAGTGCAAATATGTCTTGTACAGCAAGGCTACCATGTAATTTTGGCACTAATGTGGTTAACCCCCGAAAATATGGTCCGATGGAGGTTTTTGCTGCAGTAATGATTACAAGTGGCCTCGTTACTGTATGATTTCGACTGGGTGTTGTGTACTGGATGCTGCCTATCAGGCAATTGGTGGAATGCGCGGAATCAAAGGCATGTTATGGGAGACATCCTTACTCGATCCTGACGAGGTGAGTGCTATATATCCTGTGAAAGTTAAGTGTTGTGATTATTCATATGTTTAAATCCACTGTTTAGCACAATACATTAGAGTAACATACAATGAATGCTATATTTAACATACAATTTTTTCCGTAGGATATTCGCTTCAGAGGCATGTCAATACCTGAATGTCAGAAAAAACTTCCAGAAGTGAAACCTGGTGGCAAACCATTGCCTGAAGGCTTTTTGTGGCTCCTTGTAACTGGAGAGATCACGGATGCTTTGTACTTGTGAGGTTGAGAGACTGCGGCTTTCAGACAGGCATCTTATTTTTTTTGTTACGAAGAATAAGAAACTAAATGAATCTAGCTTATGGGTTCGTGGGCACAGGTGGTACCTTGGTTTGGGCATGCTGTGCTGAGGAAAATGGAACCCCGATACATATGTCAGCGTGAATTTGCTCTCAAGCATCTTCCCGATGATCCTGTGTTCAAGATGGTATGCCTCTATTCATAGCTGTATGCGCATTCGAGTTAGTGTATAACACGGAGGTTCTTCTGGAAGATTGTTGTATCTTGTAATACTCCTCATGTCTCTATAAAAGTTTGGCCAAATAACCCTCGTAACAATCTGTGCTAAATTGTAGAATTCGAGTATCATGAAAGAAATACTTTCAGTCTGACGTTTATTCATTTCTGCATAGAACTCCTTTTTGAATCTGATCCCAATAATTACTCTCTCTTTTTAGATGAAAGTTGGTTCAGCTTAAACTCTCAATTAAACTAAAGGTCGATATTTCTTTACGCAAGTTTGGAGACTTTTTCAAGAAGAATCTAGAAATTTTTAATTGCTTTATTTCTATACATTCAGCATGATCCACGAGGCTGCAAGATGACAAGCTCATTTTTTGCAGGTGTCGAAATTGTTTGAGGTGGTTCCCCCCATTCTTTTAGCAGGCGGCAAAGTAAGTGTAACAGTGAACACTCCAAATATTACTTTAGTTGAGCTGAAGCCATTACATACTTTTCTCTTTAGTGTGAAAGATTTCTGAAATCTGTGTACGTATGGGCAGGTGAAGAACCCCTGGCCTAATGCCCACAGCGGTGTTCTGCTGCAGTACTACGGTTTGAAGGAACAAAAGCGAGTTACAACAGCTGCAATATTCCTGAACTACCATCTTGATAGCCTGATGATACGTCATGCTTTTCGTTTCCATTGAACTGGTAGGGTCATTCTTTGCGGTCATTTGAAAGTCTGATACGTTTTGGGTTGGTTGATTTTATCTACTATACTGTGCTTTTCGGAGTATCACGTGCTATGGGCGTCCTCTCTCAGGTTGACTATGTGTTAATGTGCAGCTCATCTGGGATCAAGCACTTGGGCTTCCAATTGAGAGACCAAAAAGTATGACGTTTTCTTACATTGAAAACTATTGCAAGTCCAAAGCAAGTATGACCATAAACTATTCCCTATTTAGTCCATTAGTGAGGACAGGGTCCTGTTTACTTGAGATATCCCTCTTGTAACTTATTCCCACTTTTCAACAAGGCGTATTCAGTTGTCATTCGCGAATTGACACGGCATCTTGAATATTCTGCTTTCAAAAGCTTTGACGAATGTCCTGACCCTATCCACCAGAGTCGACAAAAGCTACCTAGTTGTGGCATGTTGGCTGCGGTGGTCTGAAATCCAAGATTTGAACACAATGTCCACACTTCCTTTTAATATATTGGACATTGAATTCAAATCCTGGAGCTTAACTCCTAGAGGATTGTACTATGATGTGTGATTTCATATTTGAAGTGAATTTGATGTATGGTATTTGGTTGTAACTACCTCTGTTTCTTTTTCTTTGAAAATTCGTGAAATGAATTTATCAACCTGTCTTGCGCTGGTCTTCTGTTCTATCATTATCACTCAAGTTTTAGCCACATAACGGAGGATTGGTAAACTATCAATGTTAGTAAAATCAGCCATATTCAGTTTTTCTCTTTTTCATTTTCTGTACTAATTGATTTCAGAATGATTTATCCTACAGCATATCGATATCAAGATGAGATTTCTTGCAAATAATAATAAAAATAATGTTTTTTTTTGTGAATTTATATGATATACATTATTGAAATTTTTTAACAGAAATTGTTATCAAAAAAGTATTCGTTCTGTCAAAATATTACTCAATCCATGACATATTTTTTTACTATTTTTACTAAATTACTGAACCAGAAGTGTTCCAGAATTACAATGAATGGTGTAATGAGCCATGGTATTACATATATTGATTGTAATTTCATGTTGCATTACAATTCATTTCAATGATCAATCAACAATTATTAAATTACTTTTTTGATATGATTGCATCATTCCATGCAATTAGATAAATACATATACACACACACACACACCAATAAATCTACACATTATTATTAACTACCTGTTGCAGCACCACAAAATAGTAACAAAATAAATGTGAAATTTTGCATGTGTCTTATGTGGCCTAGCGGGGCCAACCACCCAGGCCATACATAGCTCAAATGTGGGTCCATCAACAAGACACAATGGCACACGAAGTTGACACACCATTTGGTAGAAATGGCATGCATTTACTCTAAGAGAGCTTAGTGAACTTGGTGAAATAAAGTTCTAGCAATATGTTTGACGTAAATGAGCAGAGAACTCTATGAACAAAATACTAAAAATAACTTTTCTAAAATGGCATTGCAACGTTATGACTGTTGTCAACGTCACGAAGATGCATAAAAGGGTGACCGTGACTCAGATGCAGAATGTCAACTCTGTCCTTTGTACACAGTTAGCCTGTAACTATGGGTTATTCCGTATTTTTGCTCTTAAACAGCAGCGCACATGTTACATACCTGCCTCTAATCATCCAGTGTACTAGAACTGGAAGAAACACAATTGTGTACAATTCAGCCTTGCTGCCGTGCTTGCGCCCGCAACTGGGTAGATGAGAGATCTGACTGAAACAAGCTCAGTGGAATCTCTTGGAACATGCCCTCCACTTCAGTTGGAACTTCTACATCAGCGAGTACCTGATGAACAAGCCACGACGAGGGTTAATACATTCCTGGCCACGAAATCAAACGAAGCTTTCAAGCCTGAAGAGAACTCGATAGAGTAAGAACCAGGTGTCTGGTTATTAAAATCCAGGTGCCTAACTGAGAAAAATGTGCTCTTTCCATACAAGTTGCACAAAGATAGGTAGGAAAGTTTTAATTGGAGAGGGAAAAGACCATCACAACAAGGAATTAATCTGACTCATTATGATTGAGAAAAAGTTGAAGATAATAAAAATCAGGGGAAAAAATACTGTAGTTCTTGCCTTAAAAGCTTCGTCCACTTTTCGTCCTGCTACCAAGAAATCGCAGCCAAGTTTCCTTATTCCTAGCATCACCTCCACCATCCGAACTTTACTATTCCCATAGTACTTTGGCTGAAAACGAAGAAAAGTCGACCGTCAGAATTTATGTGAAAAATGTTACACATTGCACATCTGGCAGACAGAAATTGACGGATTAAATAGAGAAAGCATGAGAATGGCTTACATCTAACAGTCTTAAAGCTGTGTCTGCCCCAACAACAAACGTGCTGTCCGGAAAGAGCTCTGCCTTCTTAAAGAAATACGGTTGGTTTGTCACAACTAATGTATTCCCTGATGAGCAAAACAACATAAACAAAGAAATTTACGCATGATTTGTATCTGAACTATCATCCTCAACAACACCACGCAGTGCGGCAAAGTACAAAGATTCCATGTTTAGCTACTTCTAGAGATACTATTTTAGAAGTAAAAGGGGTGATAACCAAGCATACTAGACAAATTGTGCTAATATTAAATCTTTCTACAGGTGACATTTAAATCTTTCACATAATTAGGACCGCATCAAATCATTGACACCCAGAGATTGACAATCACAGATTCCAATTAAAAGTTCTGCTTGACACTGATACAGCTACGAAGTTTCAGCAGTACCAGAGCGAAATTGATTTGAGCGTTCCTTTATGTCTGTAAGTCCCAATGGTGGTTTGTCTGCATTAATTGCAGATAGTTCGTAGCATGGAAGCCCACCTTCCCGCAAGCTACAACCAATACAACGATCAAACACCTAATAGTTTAGAAATGAAGGTTGAAATTAAGTCCCCCTCTATGCATTCACAATGGAACATTGGAAAAATAAGAATTCTACAAGACTTTCCTTCTCAAGTATTTGAAAAAATAATCTGGAGGTAACCCCCAGTTTACATGCTAATGTTGTGGTTACATAGAAAAGTACACAAGGACCAGGTAAACCAACATAACTTCTGCCCGAAATGCTAATTTCTGACACAGAAGGTTCTAGACATAACGGACTTTACGAGTTTAGCCTTCAAACAAAGATGGCCATTAAACCTGCAAGCCGCATCCAAGAGCTTGACATGACCATCATGAAGTGGATTAAATGATCCAGATAATACCACCCTTCTAGTACCCGAAGTTGGTGAGTTTACACGATCTGCGTATCAATCGATGGAAAAAATATGATTTATGAAGCAAATGAATATAATATTGAGAATTCAAACCAATGGAGATGAAGTTGAAAAGCTTGCGCAGTCATGCAAAAGCCTCTGTAGAACTTGGAAATAACATTCACGACTGAATCTAAACTCAAAAACCGTACCGGAGAAATTAATCATACAGATCTTGCCACTCAGTAACTGCTGTAGCTGCTCTTCCTCGCTGTACACCAATTTTGTCTCTCTTAATTTCTCTATGCCTTCTTTTAAATCCAGTGGTATATCATCGATAGTTCCGCATACATTGGCTAATGTCTGCACATTAGCCAACTCCGTCACCAGAATAAGCCAGAAAACCACTCATTGCGAGCATATCAAATTTAGCATGTCAAATTCACCTTTATGTCGACAATGGCAGAATCCAAAAATGCAAGTGCTAATGAAAAACTTACCTTAACCAATAGGCAGCTTGTCAGATAATCTTCTCCATATCGATCTCGATGGCCCTGCACCCACAACAACTTAAATCACATCCATGTTCCATAGTGGTCTAATGTCAAATTGAAGATAGCGAAACGAGAACAGGTTCGTTAACCTTTGCAAGAGTCAAATCATACTGCCAAAGTCCATTTTGAGTGCGAGCTGACACGAAGCACCTGTACAGATGTGTTGGTGACATCACATTCACATAAGCATGCATGTACACCACGTCAGATGTGAATTCATTTCTTAGACCAGAATGTACGAACAAGAAAAAGATTCAGCACAATAAGCCGATTTATAACTACTGGACTATATCTAATGCTTCTAGTTTAGAGATCACGCACGGTGGCCACCCACTAACAGAAAAGACGCAATCTTTACAAAGAATTTTCTAAACGAAAAACACAGGGGCAACATGATCGAAGCTACAGATCATGGCATGGGCTCAATTTGAACATCTACGCTACAGGGAGCAAGCCCGAACCTTGATAATTCGTTGAAAGAAAAACAGAACAGAAACCAACCTGTGGTCTCCACGCTTTGGCGGTATAGAGGCTAAGACACCTGTGAATCCAATTCCAGCTACTTGCATACCTTCTTATCCAAGCGCACGGTTTGTCAATCATTGAATAGGCCACAACGCATACCATTCACAACCAGCACCACCAATCACCAAGCACCAGCATCAGGAGACTTGGTGATTTACCAATTATGCAATCTTTGGTTAGTATGCATGAACGATTGCCCAGAGACTATTTGCATGGAATTTAAGCACCCGAAAGTGACGACCTGTATTTTAACAATTTAAGCACCATTGTAGAGATTTGTTAGCTGCTTAAACATAATCCAGTAGTATGATTAAACAATACCATCACCAGAAGGAAAGCGGATATCAATACCAGGCATTGAAAGTTCTAAAGCTCGATTATACGCTTCCAGAGCAATTTCGTCAGCTGTTTCTCGACAAACAGACTGAGTGGGAACCTGAAAATAAAGAACGATTAATGCAACTACAAGCTTTCAGAATTCACCATTAACTAACTAATTGTCGTTGTCCTATATTCCTCAAGAAACGAGGGAAGTGCTTCAACCTACCCAAGACGTTCGTTTACCTTCAACCCCTACTGAAAAGGCAGTGCAAAGTTTAAATTGACAACCAACACAAGTCCTAACATAATAGAACCTAAAACAATAGCAGGTTGCAACCAAATGCAAAACCTAGAGATACCTTGCCAAGAAGTTGAACCATAGAAGCCCTGGAGTACATGAATGTGGCCTCCAACACCGTGCTTGACGCTCGTGGCACCGACAACAGCCAACCTAGAGCCTTTACACTCAGCGTCCACAACAATGTTTTCTCTGAATCATGTTGGCTGTTGCAGCGACAGAGTAGTTCTACAATCTCCTCGAAATCTCTCGATTACAAGAAGAGCAGATCTGAGCATAATGCATGTACGTGCTAAAGGCAGATAACGTGATTGAATTTGAATCTTGCACCACTGAATTTCAATGTGAATTACCAACGAAGACCCCAATAACACTTCCACTTCGATTATAAAGAGTAATCGCAAGCTTTCTCGTATACAAAGTGATGGGAAATTATACACTCACTACTTGCTCTGGAAAAAATTTCCATGCAGTAATGGCGTCATTTCGCCACAATTTTCCCACTTTTGTGCCACATGGCAAAATATTTAAAAGTTCTTAGTGGTTGTGATTTTCTGAGCGTAAACCTTGAGATGAGGCCTCCATCAAACAGTGGTGCTGAACAGGATTAAAATTGAGGAGCTCAAACTGGGGATCCAAACTTTCGTGGCGCCATGACCTAAATTATACAACAGCTGTGATACAACATTCAACAAACAAAACAGACCTGCGATGCGCCACCAGAGAGGCAAAGAACAGCACGGGTGGGTGAGGAATGAATGGCCTCGATAACGGCACGCACTACGCTGTCCATCTTGCTCAATTTTTCTCTGCGGCTGAGGCCAACCTTAGACCACAACCAATTCACGACACTTGCGATTCGACACAACTGTCGTCAAAGACATGTGCAATCCATCAGTCAACGATTCGCAAAAACTCTCCGACATCGAAACAGCTGCAGAATCACTCCACAAACACTCAAACAGCAAAAAGTGATGAACACATCTCAAAAATTCTAACGACCGGGAGCGGAACCCAACAACTTAAGAATGTGATTCACAGTCGCCACCATACCACAATCAGATTTGGAACAACGTTCAACATTCATAACACCAATCTCTATAAATCTCACTCATCTGTCCCAGAAGAATTACACAAAAAACTCACTCACATCCTGGCGAAGCTCCGTGGATTCCTCAAACTCAGCAAACCCAGGTCGCCACCATCGCCGGGAATAAAGAAGCAGAAGCTGCGTGATATCTCACCACCTTCGAAACAAGTTTGCCTTGCTTCATTGCTGTTGGCCACCGACAGCTCTGCAAAAAAAAAATCTTATTGATGTGGAATAAGGGGTTTGAAAGGGGCTTTAGCATGTTAAAATGTTTGTTTTTTTCTTTGTTTCGTTTTGTTTTTTTTGTTTGTTTGTTTTTTTTCTTTTCTTTTCCTCTCTGCTGATTAGTGCTTCTGTACAGTTGCGAACTTGTGTTGTTTTGTGTGTCACTAAAAGAGTTAAGATAGAGTTGGTACAAGCATATTTTCTTCAATGGAATCTATGGATGATAGAATGCTGAGGTTTGTGTACTTGATTTTGTTGTGAGTAATGAGGTACATATATACATAATATGAATTTTTGTATAGGCTAAAAACATCTTGAAATCATTAACATGATCTTTTTAAAAGTGTCTTTGTAAAAACTAATAATTGTGATAAGACGCTGGCACCTACACTATTTTTATATGTAATTATGTTTTAGAATTTTTATTAATACTGATATTTTTTATATTTACTTTCGGATTTATGGGTAGTTTCTGTTATATTTGATGAAATGAGAATAAAATAATAGTTTGATATTGAAGACTCAAACTTTGAACATAAAATGAATGTAGTTTCTTTTAGTTTTGTAACAAAGTCCATAAATAATGATGATAATAGATCTAGTAATGCAGTTTTATAAACACCAATAATTATCTAAATTAGAATTACCGAAACCTAATTTGGAAAAAGTAAATTAAATTGTATCAAAAGACAGTTTTGTAACCAAAAATAATTTATGTGTTGAAATTTCAGGCTTCTACAAGGTAACATATATATATATATATATATATATATACACACACACACATATTGAAAAACAAAAAATGTTTTGTTTAATTTCTCCTTATACAAATTCATTCCAAGTTGTTTCACTTCACCAATGTGTAATCACATAATGCACAATTACAATAATTAATAATCTCATCATAATTCTGTCTGATTACATCTTTGAAAAACCATTTCATCTTGAAAAGAAAAAACTAATATTAAAGATGCATACAAATATGTTTTCTTCATAGGACAAACTCATGTCACTAGTGTAATTGTTTTTTTATAACACAAAACATCAATTAAAGAAAACTTGCATTTTTTAGATTAAAACTATTATGTTTATTTATAATTATTAAAAAAAAAACAAGAAAAACATGTAATGAACATTGAATATTTAATCACATCAAAACATAGACCATGTCCATAGAATGCACAATACAATCCTTGAGTGGGTTTGTGAGAACATATGATGTAGGGCAACCCAAAGTTCCTTTCACACGATATAACCCCATCGCTAACATCCCTTTATTGTGTAATAGTTCCATGAACAAATCCACGTAAGGTCGGTTTGCAAAGCCATTAGGTACAACAATTTGTTCAAATGTGCGAGCATTCTTCTCATCCAAAAGAAAGCCATCTTTCTCAACATATCCTCCATCCACTATTTGTTCAACAATTGATACTGTGTTGCGGTTGTAGAACATGGATCGCATCAAAAACCCAAGAAGGATGGGTGATATGGCCCTTCCTTCCATAAAAGGTGGCCCTAAGTGCAATAAAGCATCGCGGTTTTGTAGATAATCCTTGTGAGCAAAAAAGAGGTTTGCATGGCTACGCAAAACCCCAAATTGGGGTTGTAAGTAATCAAATCCAATTGTATGTTGCATTTCAACAATCAAAACAGATGATGATTTGTCCCCAACTAATCGATCTACATTAGCTGCAATCAAAATATTATCCACATCACTTACAAAAGTAGATTTTACTTGAAATTGGTATCTTGTGTCTTGCACTTGGTGAGCTGTTAAACTACCAACTGGAGCTTCTAAATGTGCAAATATTACTACTTTTTCTGTGCAAACAACACAAGTATACCTCTATTAGATATATATATATATATATATATATATATTAACATGTTTATGTGTGATTATTCCCACACTTGTGAATTTATTATGAAATTTTTAATTTTAAAAGTTGTGTTTATAAATAATAATAAAACTTAGGGCAAATCAAATTCTATAACTTACCAGCTTGTAGAATTCCTCCTCTCATGAGATCAAGCTCAAAGGTGGGAGAACCTTTCACTAAATAAACGTCTTTGAAAATGCCTACTAGCCCCCATTGCTCAGCACTTGGATCCAATGGAAACAAAATAACAATAGGTGGTTGGTGGCTTTTTGGTTGACGCAACCCTTTGATGAAATAGAAAAGGTGAGAGGGCCACACCCCTTGGCAACATAGCAAAATGTGAGGCCGTGCCAACTCCGCAATTGCGAGGGTTTTTTGTTTCATATCCTCCAAAATCTCTTTTGCTCGTCGCTCGAGAACAACAGGGTGAGGTTGACCATAATTAAAAATAGGCGGCCATGTCAACAACTTCTCAGTTGCCTTCTCTAAAGACACAAAATGCGAGGATTTTTTTCCTCCTTGAGTTGTAGACGTGGAAGCCATTTCATTGTCGTTACTCCTCAGCTCCACATCGGGTTGGATTTTGCTACAACGCTTGCTGGGTTTGGATGAAAAAACATCCATTGGCATAACGTTCATATTTCTCCTACTCGCATCCATTGTGGCATTGGGCTCACCATTGAGGTTGCTCTCTAAATGGGATTCATGGATCACGGACCGCAGTTGTGTCTCAAGGTTGTATGCACCATCAGGATCTATTGGAAACATTTGAAGGTCTTCAAAGTAACTAGGGTTGCCAATGAAGCCAGGGTGCCTCCACCTATCAATCACTCTTTCTGCAGGCGCCTTAATTTCTATTACATTTGATGGTTTGTTGTGCAATTTGGGTGTTGTTATTACAGGCTCTTTAAAATAATTAGCGCTGGTGTGTATTTGGTTTCTTTGGTTTGAAATACCAAAGACTGTTTTGTTGTCTCGTGATATCACAAGCCCAACATCTTCTGGTTTGATGATGTGTCCTTTGGGATATAACAAAACCTACAAAATGAGAAAGAATATTGTTATGTCATAAAGTGAATATTCTAAAACAACTACTTTTCTTAACAAACTAAGTATTGGAATTTATTAATCTTTTTGTGTCTTTATTTCATTAAAAAATGAAGATAAAAATAAAAATAAATTACCCACAGTATATAAAATGTAATAGAATCAATTATACAGAATATAGATCTTATTCTTTTTGACATATGAGCATAACATGTCATATTTTATGTGTTAAGTGTTACTATCACCATGGATTTATTATTTATATTTGGCTAACTTTTTCAGAATGTTTGTTAATGTTATGATCTAACTTTACAATGTCAAAAGCCAATATCATCACCCACTTCAAATGGTAATGACAATACAATTTCAAGTAATGATATGAATTTTGGAAGTTTAAATTGATGTCTTGTATCTTCAAAAATTAAAAACTTGGTGATTAGACATTGATTTATTTCATCAAATTCAGCTTAAAATACATATGTTACACTAAAAACACTGTCTATCTGAATATTATAGTGTGTGAAGCCAAGTTTGAATAAAACTGTGCACATAATTCTACTTTGGAAAAGAATTAAATATAGTACTCTCACTTGGTTTGTAACTGATAAGCATATTGCATTATATAGTGTGTGAATCTAATTCACTATTTTTAGACAGGATACAATGTTTCACTTTTTAAGAAAAATCCTTTCATAAAATGTGCACATTACAGAATAAAACAAAACTTCATACAACCAAGAGTTTATTATAAATATTGGAAGAAAAAGAAACAAATCACATCATATGTTTTTGGAGAAAAACTTCTTGAAATGCGTATACAATACATGTTTGGTATCTATGTAAACTTGCTTCAAAACAAGTTGAAATGTCATATGAAAGTCAAAAGAAATATTTCTGTTGGCAATAAAATGAATCATCCAACCTTGTTCACAATGTGATTTTTTTGTTTCTGCTGAAGAGGAACATCCAAAGCAAACAATATAGTATCAAAGGTCATGAATATGTGAACTGCAGCCTGAATTTTAAAAACACAGCATTAGAAACACACACACACACACACACACACATATATATATATATATATATATATATATATTTCTATTTTTAAAATAAAAAATTATATTTTTACAAGGTTTATCATTTCCTTACAAAGCTCATAATTTTTTTCTCAAATGATAAGATTAAGAATAAAAATAATTTTATTATGTAGGGCAAGACTTCGCCTAATTCACATCTTCAAACCATAGTTTTCCATGAATTTATACATTTTTATTCAATTCCAAAAGAAGTACCTCTTCAAAAGTCATGCCATGATAAGAAGTTGGTAGTATAAGTGGATACACTTCATTTTCATAACTATGAAAGAATTCACTTAAGAATGCAAACTCAGAGTCATTTCTGAGTCTGATCTTTGATGTGAACAGGTTCCCAATAAATGTGTACAATCCTCTAACAATGCAACTGTGATGTCACAAAGCCACTGCTTGCTTAAATAAAACCCATACAAATGATGCTTAGAAGTAACAACATTTTATTTTATTTATAGAATTGTTACAAAATTTCAATCAAAATGAACTAAAACATGACTTGAACATTTTAGCTCATTGATCCATGAACAATATAAGAAGTACTGGATTAACTTCATGTTGGCTTGCTCATTCATATATAAATGATATAGAGTATAAATATACTGACACAAACACATAACATTGTACAAATCTATGAAATCTTGTTAACACTGCTTACAAAGGAATTATGTATCTTACATATTTATTTATTACACATTCATTTTAAAAATATCAAAAAATTAATGGGATTGTATATACATGCTATAAAATTACCTACGAGAAAGCATTTGGTAGTGTAATTTAGCAGGGCAAATGATTTCAATGCGACCACTTTGGGTCTCATCCCAAACGGCACTGGTTTGGGTGATGGGATCCAACACCTCCACGATGATCCGCACAGTGTGCCCACACACACGATGCACGGCCAATGCCCTTACCACTTGGATGGCATCCTCTGCTTTTGTATTCTACCATTCCATCCCCCAACCCAATTCCAAACTCCTCCTTCTCAATGTTTACATAAAAAATAAAATATCATATCATAACATAACATAACATAAAAAATAAAAATAAAAAATAATTAAAAATAAAAACTCTAAATGGAGTAATATACTTTCATGCATCCATCTATTTTATTTTGAGTGGGTTACTTGCAAAATCATACATGAGTAGCTTTGTTGGCAAGGATGAGAATGGCAGTGGCTTTAAAGGCGCACACACGATCTAAATCTGATTGATACACTGGTGAGCCTTCAATGAACTCCACAAGCCCATTGTAAAGTGCTAGAAGGTTTTTCAGCTCATACCTAAAGACGTTCCACCAAACCATATTCTTCCTTTTTAGAATTTCTGCACATGTTTTTATTGTGGGGATATGCATTGTTTGAAAGTAAGGATAAGGTGCATAAAAACATATAAATATATATATATATATATATATATACTGCTTCATGATAGCAAAAGAGGCAAGGGATATAAATACACAGCCACATAATACAGAGGACGGGAGTGAGGGGTGCGTACGAAGGTTGAAATGGTGCCAAGATGGTCACGTGCAATGGATAAGCAAAGTTATCTGCATTTGGCCAGTTGAGTGAGTTTTTATTGAAGTTAGTAAGGGTGGGTTTGTGCGAATCTTTCAAACCTCACTTCATTGTCACTTTATCCTTTTTCCTCTTTTCTCCTGTGTGTTCTGTACATCTGGATATGCTTTTTTTTTGAAGGGCAAGCTTATGAATTTTGGATTAAAATTTTCAAACTTGAATCCCTATCTCTCTCTGTTTGTATATATATATATATATATATGTATAATCCACTCTAATTTTTTTCCACCTTCGTTGTGAGATGAACTATAGAATTCAGCAAGACATTCTTGAACTGCCTGAAAAGAGATACTTCCAGTAAGAATAATGTATCTTGAATCAAATATATTCCGAAAAGAAATTGAACCTCCGTACGGCCTACAAGACAATGACAATGGCCACAAATAAAATATTCACCTTCTTCCATTTGATTTCAAATGAAAAAATAAAAAAAATAAAATATAGACCCACACACACTTGCACATACATTGAAATTAAATGAATGAGTTATGGAAAACAGATAGGTTGTGTGAAGGCACAATACCGAAGGGATGCAAGGCTATTGATGCGGGATACTTGTAAAGGGATGTAAATAAGGGCAGCAATTATGATAAGCATTGCAAATAGCTTCCCCAAGTTGGTTTTGGGAGTCATGTCCCCATACCCCACAGTAGCCACCTAAATTCAATTGTCTGCATGCACGTAAATTATAAAATGACAAGTAAATCCACTGCAGTTTAAATCTTATATATATATATATATATATATATGTTTGGTGGATATAGATGTTTAAATGCTGTTTTTTCCATAAAAATAATTACAATTGATTTTTTCTAATGGCGTATGTAAATCATGAAAGTTGATAAAATAAAAAAAATAAAGTCATTAAAAAGAATTAAAAAAAATTGAAAGGATTATCTATTGTAAGCATAGAAAAGGAGAAGTAGAGTAAGAAATGGAAAAACTTACTGTGACAATGATGTAGTAGAAGGCATCAAGGAAGTTGAGGCATCCATTGGAACTACATTTGGCTTTGGATTCAGCAGAAATCAATTCAGATTCAATCCATTGCATAATCCCCGCACTCAAAAATACTTTCCTCCTCATTAAACACACACACACACACACACATTCTACATCAAATATTTCCAATTTCATTCTTATCTAAAATGTGAGCATATGCCATAAGTTAGAGTTTTATTGATAGTCATTGGAACAGTTCCAACAAAATTGATAGACAATAAACTTGTACTAGGTTCTTTTTGGATTCTATGCATATATGGATCCAGTCAAAAAAGCTATTTTTACTTGAATTTCATTGGAAATTTCACACCTTAACTTTGAATTATTATGTATTAAAAAGGCTTGGAATTTTGATTTTTTGGGAGGTTCTTTTCATTTGAAAATTTTTAAACCTAAGATCATATGTTTGTATCAAGGTTCTCCAACAATTGTGTGTTGTGAAGCTAAATAGATCTATCTAACTATCTATCTATCTATATATATATATATATATATATAGTAAAAGAAGTTATAAGATATAATTTACTAGAGCCTAATGTTGTCATTGCAACAAGGAGAATCTTCTGATATAAAGTACTTCCAGCTATGCCCATGTTTGCAAATACAGGTATTATCCTGTTACATGTTACAATGTTTAATAAACTAATTCACATGTACAGGTGAATGAATAAATAAAGTTCACCATTGTACAGTTACTGATTGCTGCAAATCATAAAATGTAATAAAAATAGGATAGATTTGTGCAATAAAAAGTTACAGATTATGCAACATCGTCATAGAATATGATGCATAACACATGGCATAAAGATTTCATTGTTTATAATTTTTTAAATAAGGAGTGCATCAACCACTTAAACACATTATAGTTAATAATACCTAATTACACGTAGAAATTGCAAAAGATGTAACAGGTTCCCATGTGCTGCATCTGATCTGCACCAATACAGTTTGAAAATAGATGTATATTAACATATAATTTTACAGAAAAAAAGATGGAAAAAGTTGTCATTGATTCCAATTTCAATCAATCAACATGGTTTTTTTAAATCTGAAAATAGAAAAAGGTTTTATGGAAGCCTTACTTGAAAAGGAAAATGATAGGAAATGTACTGAGTAAGTCAATCAAACCCCAGTACGAAAAAACATATAACACTTGCACCGGCTCACTGCAACACCATATTACATTTCGTATTTATTATTACTCTTATTATTATGTCTTTTCACATCATTGATAATCCATGAAAACATCATATTTGATGAATTTTATTGGTTAATTATCAAAGGTGTAGAGAACGACATTTGTGTTGATTTGCAATATTTCTTTGAAATAAACGGAGTGTTTCTCCAACAATAATTACTTCTTGAATTTTCAAGCGTTACACATTGACCACTACAAAATGTGGATGGTTGAACAAAAACAAGTTTCTTTTTCATTTCTGAATTAATTTTTGATAAAATTGAGAAGCGTGTTAATGGAAGTCGCACCAATATATCCGCAACAAATAATCCAAAACAAAGATAACACTCGCAACATTTTGGATTTGTGATACCCAATCACGGCCAGCAACATCCCTCAAATGGTACCTACAACTCAATGAATGATACCAACAAATTTTCGGATCACAAAACGTCCAATTCCAAACACACTTACAACACACAAAATTAGAGTACCAATCATCCAAAATACCACACAACAAAACACAAACTCACGTAGAATAAACATGCAATGTTCCAGATAGTGCAGCAAGAAAAAACTCCACCTGCAGTAAAATTCCACCCACAATCCACAATCCACAAACAAATGTGTGTCACTCATGACAAACATGGATTAAAAATAACAGAAGCACCAAGTTTACATGCAATGGAAAACACTATATAAAAAGAATAGAATGGGAGATCGGGAGGAGGGAGTGATTACGAGGGACCAAGCGCGGCCCAGCTTGCCGCCGCGCATGGAGGCGCGGATGCCCAGGCACAAGGGCGTCTCGCCAAACAGAAACAAGTCATGGTATGTGCGTAGCGCGTGCGCGCTGGCGTCGATGCTGCGCTCCCTCCTCGCGCCGCTCCAGCTCCATTTCTCCACGGCTCGCCTCGCCAGTGCTGCACCCATCTGCTGGGTCCTCTCATACCATGCCCTGCTCGCGCCGGGTTGCGTCTGCGTTGGCAGACTATTGGGGAGGCTGCACTCGCTGGCGTTCACGCTCCCCCCGACACCCCCTCCTCCGCCTTGCCTCTCCACGTTGGTCTGGGAGCTATACTCTTGCGTGGCCATGGTTGCGAGTCTGTAGTTGGTTGGACATAATAATTTCTTTTGTTACCGCCAGAGAAGAGTGGATGTCGTTTCCATGTTGAAAGCGCTGGATGTGTAGAAATTTTGTAGTTTTCAGGGGTGAGGATAATTGGGTGTTGGGTTGGAGACGAAGAGGATCTAACCTGGTGTATGGAAGAGTGGTATACGGTGGATTCCAGAATCTAGAGCTCCACCAACTCCGCCTCATCCAGACTGCTGCTTGCTGTAATATCAGGAATACTGGTTATTAACTTGGTTCAGGTGTGGCAGTCTTCCACTCATCAGCCTCCTGCCGTTACGCAAGAGACGTGACGTCGCTGCAGAGAGCACTGCCTAGCCACGCCCTTCAATCTGCTTCAGTGCCTGGTTGCATCTTCCGCACTGCAGTATTCCCGCAGGTAAATGAAGCGATTCGGTGATGAATCAATCCTGAAGCGCACCAACTCCGCAGTAGGGTCCGGTCTGTGTCATGTCAGACTGATCCAGATCTCGCCTGCAGCATCACCTGCACTGATTGATACGGCATCAGATTTAACCCTAATATTTATGAACAACCATGACCTGGCGGGGTGCTGCATGGTTTCACCTGGATGAGAGCTGGTGGATGATGAGATATCCTGCCAACACGACTCACCCTTGCAAATCTTCCAGTGGATTGATGCACTGGATCTGACCTTGGCAGAGAGGTGGGGGGTCTGGGCAACAGATATCAATCAGTAAACCAGTTAGAGTTGCCAGGAGATGGAAACTCACGTCCTTGCACAACAATGTTCAACCAACCACCCATCAAGGCGAGTTCTCGTTTGGAGAGACAACCCATCAAGCCGATGATTTGTTGGTGGTTTGTTTGTCATCAGCCCTCAGAGGCACTCATGGCCAGGGCTTCGGTACTAGGGTAATCTCAATACATTGTTGTCCTACATTACCCAGTTAGTATGAGAACTCGCTGTTGCTACTTGGGAATATCGCCCTCCTGGATATGGATAACATGTAGGACAGTGTGTTTGCTGTAGCTCTAGATCTGGTTGTCGAGGTAACCAGCTTTTTTCTGCGCAGGAGACAGAGGGCAGGGTTGTTGTAGAAGCCGTCAGGGGATACAAGAGTTGCTCCTCAGCTGGGGAGGTTCTCGCATGTGAAATGATTACTTTTGTGTGTACCTTAGCCATGACTGGAAGTGTTGGAACACTGTAGTTGATGGGGGTTGGTGTAGTCCGAGGAGTGAGCTTGGATTGGGAGGTTTTGGAAGGGGAGGGTCTTCTTGCACTGCCACAGACAATCGGTCCTGGATTGCGCGCGAAGCGTTTCAGGCTTAGCTGCACATGGTTTTTGATCAATCAGGCTTGGAGTTTTGAGGAAGGAGGGGGTACGAGGACGGTGGAGGAGGGAGTGGGAGTGACGCTTAAGTAATGGCGAGGGGCAAGGCTGTGATATGCGGGAGCAGGATGGTGCGACTGTTGATGGTGTTGTTAGCATTAGGACTGTCAATATACACCGTTGCGCCGGCTGTGTACTGGCATGTTGTGGCGGAGGATGGGGATGTATTGACCAAGTGGGTGTTGCAGTGCCCACCGTGCCCACATAAAGATTCATGCAAGGCCTCCATGCTCGCTGATAGCGCCTCCCACATCTTAGGTCAGCATTGTTCTCCTCTTCAACCTGCCGTTTGTTTCTGATTCCCTTTAATACTGAATATGAAAATCTCTCATCGGTGCTTAAAACTCGCACCTGTCAGTGTTAAAATTCTCGGGAGTAATTGAACGGTGTAAAATGTGTAAAAAAATGTGGTCCTTCGTTGTGATTATTTTTTGAATCTATTTGTTTGACACTTCTAATAAGACTGTTTAAACCTAGATGCATCTTTGCATTATTCGACGTTGACAGGATAGCTTATATATGGATATACGTAACTTATTCACATGAACTAGTACTTCTGGAGGAATTGATACATGACCAAAGTAGATTGCATCACAGTTTTATATTGCAGACTACTGTATTTGCTCTGAAAAGTTTTTCACGTCAAGGGCGCGGGTGATAGCTCTATGGCGCAACATTCTGCAGACGATGGATTGAGGACCTTGAGTATAGTAGTGGATAATGCATTGAAGCTGAATGGAATGCGTGCGTCCGTCCGTCTTCGTAACACCGAGGATAATTTCTGGCATTGTGTGGCCACTGGATAGCGTAGGAAGGGGCGCTTGCTTATTATCTTTGAGAGTTACAAACCAGTCTTCTCTGATAGTGGATTTATTTTATTTCATTATTTCGTTATTCCCTTACTAACGTTCTGCGCTGATCTCGCAGCAATTGCGCAGAAGTTAAATTCCTCTCTGGCAGGTATGAATGGTTTTAATCATCACTTTCAGCATGTTTGCTACTAGCTACCACTCGTAGGGTCTGTGCATTGAGTTGTTTTTTAGAACATGAAAGCTCTATTAGTCCTTCCACAAAAATTTAAATGCATGGTGATTTTAAACCCAAAGCTCCGCTGATTTATTCAGGGTCACATGATGCAGTCGGCTCTAACAAAGAAGTTTTAATTGATGAGCGCAGATAGTAAGGTAGGCAACCGAGCCTTGAGAGAAGAATTTGGAAAGGAACTAGAACAATTGCTGCGGGAGGGGCTCATACTGCAGAACGAGGCCAAGGCTGCACAACAACGTGAAGATAGTACTGGATATCTAGATGCCGGTAAGAAGACTGTCTATCGGAATCAGAAAGGAGGATCGGGTAAAGGCGCTGCCGTAAATCGGAACGAGATCAAGGAGACTACGGCAGCAAACCTCTGGGAAAAGCGGGCAAAAGACCTTGGCTACAAACCCAAACCTGCAGGCTACCAAAAGTACAAGAAATATATCCAGATGCTTGATGGTTGAGATTGAGATCATAGAGAAACAGGTAGAGAGATAGAGAAAGCTTATGATTTTCTTGAGCTGTTTCAATACTGTGGATTACTTAATCCAATCCACAGTATTGAAACAGCTCAAAAAAGATCATCGAAGCATACCTCGTTAATTGGTGAGGAATCCAGCTGGACTATCATCTTGAACGGTCCCGATGCTCTATCGGTGAATCAGTTGAAGTAAAAACTTTTATTCTAAAAGTACATTTTCTAACTCTACACTACTCTAAATTACTTGTTTAGTTGGATAATTCTAAAATTAGATTGCCATTTTTTCCTTGTACCTTATTTCTATTGTAAGTCTGTTTTATACTCGTGTTTTATTGTTGACTGGTTTTCTTACTGATTGTGACCAAGATTTGGAAGTTTTGAGTGCTGAGGATTCCAATTGGTCTGATCTTTTTTGATATCTTTTCTACACAGGCCTACTATGATTTCAAATTGTTAGATTCGACATTCCACCTTTATTGTGTTTGTTAGTATGTGGACAGTGGTATTTCATATTGGTTTTGTAGCAGCTGGGAAGAATAATAATATTCAAGATGTTAAACCTATTAAAGAATATTATCTCAATGCTTCACATATCAATGTTTTTGACGACACCTTTTTTAATGACGACACCTTTTTTAATACCAACAATGATGAATCAGTTTTCTCAACAGTACCTCCACAACAAGCAATCATAAGGTTTTTAATTCCTCAACTTTTTTATTCATTTGTTATCTATTGGTATGTATAAATATATATATATATATATATATATATCAAAACTCACTTCATGGCAACAACTATGAAGTAAAATGGATTGATATATATATATATATATATATATATATAATTCATTGAATTTTGTTTATTGTTTACAATAGTGGAGAAACAAACTCACTTCATAGTAATAGCTATGAAGTAAAATGGATCAATAGATATTGTCAAGGTAATCCAATAGACAATTGTTGGTTTTGGAATTTGGAATTCAAATTGATACAACCATTGCTAAAGCTAGCTTCATGTGTGGTGGGGTTGGGACGAGATGCTATTGGAAGAAGAAATGGATCCATTTATGAGGTTTTTGACAATGGTGATGATCTTGAAAATCCCAAATTCAAGATTTTGTCCTATGGAGCCACAAGAAATGAGCCTTTGTGGATTGTATTTTTTCATAGTATGATCATCAAATTAAAAGGCAAATTATGGATATCTAGCCACAAATATCTAGCCACAAAACCATTGATGGCTATGGAATCTAAATCCATATCCATAAACAAATTTCTATCCACTATGAAGAACATGTTAACCTTCATGAATCATTCATGAATTGCACATTTATGATGTAGTTTATGAGCTTAAATCCTTGTAGATACAAGTGTCTTCAATCAAAGTAGTAAGCTATAAATCAAAATAAGATTATGGAAGGGATGTGATCCAAATTCAATTATCCAAATATGTTTGGATTGACCATTATTATTTTTTAAATGTATTAGATGGTTTAATTGATATTATCAAAGGTTTGATTAATATTACTATGTTTAACAATTTCTTCACAAATCACAGTAAGATCAAAATACAAGAACACACAATTTTTTGATATATAATTTTTTTAAAAGTTAGTATTAAAAATCATTTGGATTCTTCAATTGAAACTTTATAACCTTTTATGTGGATTTATTATTATTCTTCTATTAATTTTTTTATACTTATAGAAAATAATATAGATAATATTTTTGGATTCATCATCAAAAGATGAAATGGACAAAAATATGTACATATTGCTTTTAGTAAATTTGGATTCAATCTTATTTAAAGAATGCCAAAGAAATATATATATATATATATATATATATATATATATATATATAGTTTATTTTTTTTGGATTTGATTTTTTTGAATTTTCTTAATAAAATCCAAAATTAAAATAAAATGACTAAATAACTTAGGAATATGTATTTTTGAATGTAGAGCTTAATATGAAACTATCCATGTTATTAACAATGACTATTCAAATGGTTGAAACAAATATGCAATTGGTAGAAGAAAATGTCCAACTATACTCAACAAAGGCAATCATTTCAAGCCAAGGAGATTAAAAGAAGTTACTAGACATTTTAATGAGCAAAAAAGTTTTAAAAATTAGAATTAAGCATTGAGTGGAGATATTTTTCTTGATGGAGCTTTTTTCACGAACTCAAGAGATAATATAAACTCTAGTATTGAATATAATAAAGTTACAAGCATATTAACATGTCCTACTCAAATAATTCCAAATATTATCAAAAATATTGGACTTTCATCTTTTAAAAATCTTAGAAACTAGACCTTTATAATATAGTGCAAAGGTATTGCTACATAAGTTCTTTAGTTTTTGCAAATTTTTCTTTTTTAGATTTAATGATAGCAATAATAGATATAAAATTTAAAATATACTAATGCAAATTAAATCGACCATTGCAAAAAAGATAGTTATGTATGAAGAAAAATCATTTGTACATTCATTTTAGAATACAAGATCCATTGATTTATTAAAGCTTATGCAATACGATAAAGATAAGATAATTGTATAGATAGTTAGAACCATGAAAGTTTCTAGAATTGATATTAGGTTAGTGGACTAGGTAGGATCTACCATAGAATATTCTAAAAAGAATTTAGGACAGTTCTTTAGGTAGGGCCTATCATAGAATCTTCTAAAAAAAGAGTTTAAGGTAGTTGTTTAGATGGAGTCCACCACCTAGGAACATTCTAAAAAGTCGAAGGTGGTAGAATATGATATAAATAGGATTAGCTAGGGCCTTTTGGAGCATCTAATCAGATATGGCTTTGGACCTTTTACCTTAGTAAAATTTGGATTTGTGTCTTTCAGTTCAATTCAATTCTATTTTTTTTTTTCTATTTGCTTAGTTTTTTCTTTCATGTTCTATTTTATTTAATTCTGTTTAATTTTGTTATGGTTTGTTTTGTCCTATTTTGTGATGAGACTTTATGTTGCTGTGGATTAGAAGGATCTTGGATTTTTGAGGTGGTCTTGTCTTGTTTTATTGGTATCAGAGCAAATATTACATTGTTTATTTTTGGTACCGTGTTAATAGTCATCATCTAATCTAAGGTCACTTGTTGTGGTCACATTGAATACTATGTTGAGGCTACCACAAGCTATTCTTAAAAAATCAATCAAGAGATGAAAATGCATTACAATAGTGGAGCCTAGCGGAGAAATTACAGCATGGAAGATATAGTAGAGTAATCTCAGATGGAAGCTCAAATACAACACTTCTTAGACAAGATAGCTATTTTGCAAGGACAAATAAAACCTTTGAGGACAAGAGAGTCAACATCTATTAGGTTGAAATTGAATAAGCCTAGTACATACTTTGGAACTTCAAGATAAGAAGATGTATGTCAATAGCTCTTTAATATGCAATAATACCTCCAACTATCTATAGCAAACACCACTAAAAGAATTATATATGCAACCAACTATTTGAGAGATGCGGCAACTATTTGAGAGATGCGGCAACTATTTGGTGGTGATATTGAGTTCAAAGCTATAAAGCTCAATATGGATTTTGTGACTAAGAAGAGTTTGAGACCGAGTTTGAGAATCAATTATGACCCATCAATGTAAAAAAGATAGCATGTGATCAATTGACAAATCTTACACAAGCTAGGTCGGTGCAAGTTTATGTCTTTCAATTCAAGTTCCTATATCTCCAAATTGACAATGTTTTGAAGGCTGAGATGATGGATCGATTCCTATGAGGGTTGAAACTTGGAATCTAGCGAGAAGTGGAATTAATGGATCCACAAACATTCAAAGAGGCAATTTGGATTGTAGAGAGAGTCAATACTATAGATTTCAGAAATCATAGAGCATAACCTATAGTACAAAGTCTTATACCGCTATCTTACACTATAGCACAATAACCAATGCCAATGAAGATCAATACCTTACAAAGATCATTGACACCACAAAGACGACAAATATTGGTGTAAAAAGAATTGTATTTTTTTTATCAAGAGGTAGGCCATCACATTGAAGATTGTTCAAAATGTCAAAATTCACACACGAGCAAGACAAGGTGGGTTCACAATCTCAAAGTTCATCAAGTCAATAATGAGTCAGAGTAAGAAAATGGGGCTTCCCAGTAAAGGCACCGAGGGCCAATACTAGGGATAATTATTGTCTCTCAAAGACATATGGCATTGCTTCAAACAACTATAAAAAGAGTCAATTGGTGCATCTAATGGGACTAATAAGAAGACAACCATGTCAAGTGCTTGTAGATTGTGGCTCTACAAAAAATTACATCTCAACTATAATTGTCAACTGGCTTGGAATTAAAACTAAAGTAATCAAGGGAGGAAGTATAGACCTTGCAGATGACTGAGAGAATGTATTGAGTGAGACGTATGAAGAAGAAACCTTAAGATTGATAAACTCTTACTTCTTGAGAGAGAGATTGAAGATGACAAAGCTAAGGTATGATGTTATCTTTGATATGCCATGGCTAAAGATGAAAAATAAGCAAGTTGATTGGATAGGAGCAATAATATCTTTTAAAGATGGATGACATAAGGTGACTCTTTGTACCTCCACATCAAGTGAAGAAGAAATAAAATCTACAACCAAAGACTTACTTCTAGGGACGACCTTTAAGAAGAAGCAAATACAATATGAGCAATAGATATATATGGTAGTTCCAAAACTTCCGTTAGTAGTGGGAAAGACAACCAAAGGGATAGAACAGATAAAGCAATTCAAATGAAAATATCATGATGTTTTTTCAACCGACCTACTTGATGACATACCTCATGATCGAGGTACCCTATTTTAAATAGAATTATTGCCTATAGCCAAATCAGCAAGATAATTAATTTATTGCCTAGGATCAAAAGAACTTGAAGAGTTACTGAAGACATTAGATAAATTCTTAGAGAAAGGTCTTATTTGAGAAAGCACATCACCATAGAGAGCACTTGTACTCTTTGCACCTAAGAAAGATGGTGGACTTTGTGTTTGCATCGACAATAGATGCCTCAATAAGTAGATTGTTAAAAATGCATATCCACTTCTATGAGTGGATAATCCTTTTGACTAATTTCAAGGTGCAACCATATTTAGTTAATTGGATCTTAGGAGCAGCTGTTGGCAAACACCTATTATAAGAGAGGATATAAAAAAGATGGCATTTCATATGCATTATGGACATTTCAAATGGCAGGTTTTAT